AATCATTGTATATATTTTTAAAATTTAATACACATATTTCAATAATATTTTGTAAGAAATGTCACTTTCAAAATAAATTTATAAGTGTTATTGTATATATAGTATACAAATATGTAGTAGAAATACTCAAGAAAATTAAAATCGTAATAAATTAATAATCGTCTCGCTATATTTTTATTTTAGATACTATTATTCACAAAAAAAAGTCTTGATGACCAAAAGTGAAACCAAAAATAGAAATTCTATATCATTAGCAATTGTTAAGTGTATAAGAATATTTTTATAATTTATTTGATTATAAAAAATATTAATCCATGTAATGAATTAACGGATGCAGGAAGTCATCTAGTTACATAAATAAACTAGGTGACTCTCCCGCGTACACGCGGATAAATTATTTATATAGTTTTGTTTTAATTTTAGTCTTTAAAATTGTGATATATGTAGTTGTTTTGATTTTTATTATAGACATTGTTGTTGATTCTTTTGTTGTTAATTTTTTTGGTCAATAATATCATTTTTATTAATAATTTGAATTTCAAAAATTTAGTTTTACAATTTAATTATTTTATATATGTAAACGTTTCAAAGAAAAATGTATAATAATTTAATACATTAGAGTTAAGAAAAACATGTCAAATTTGGTTTGTCTGAATATCTTAAGTAGAATTTACAATACAGATAAATTATTTAATATTTTAAAACATTAAAATATATAATCATAAATTTTATAAAGGAAAATTAGCATGAATGACTATAAAAGAAAAACATATCTAATAATCTACCAAAAAGCACCCATGTGGCTAAATCTTAAGCACTAAATTTAGGGGTTTTAGTTAGATTATTAGATAACATTTTTTTTTTTTGGTTATTCGACCAATTGACCCTTTTATAAATGAAAGATTAAAAAAAATTGTTGCTTTTGAATTAAAAATTTTTTTTATTACTTTCAAATTATCTTGCGTTGAAAAAAAATTTTAAAAGAATAATTATATTTGTTATATGAACTTGGGAAGTTTTTTTCAAAAAAATATCAAAATCTCTTTTAAAAATTTGGAAAGTCTTTTCTCTTATTTTCAAAAAGAATATATAGTGATTATTTATGTATATGCACTTAGAATATTTTGCTCTATTTTTTATATTCGAAATACCTTTTTGTAGCAATTTTTATTTTAAAATTTGAAGGAGTATTTGTATATTTTTGTTATTCTCTATTTTAGTTATCCGATTTTCTTGTTTTATTGTATAATTGAGTTAACCTTAAAATTTGATAAAAATAAAATAAGATCGATTATTCATATTGTAAAACCAAAAAACATGATTTTGTAAAAATAACAATGACTAAGTAAACGAACGAAATTTAGGGATCTCTTTTATATAAAAGGGGAAGAATTTGTGACCTCTAAGAGGCTCCACGTAGGCAAAAAAAATTAGGAATATAATCCACCAATAGAAATGCAGAATTTAGCCATGTCATCCTATATTTCTCCATTTCATTAAAAATTTAACCGCACAATTGTTGAATATAATGAAGTCCATAAAAGAAGCCCAATTAAAACCATAAACTTATCCAAACCAAAGGCCCATAACCACATACATCGTATCATATTCTCCACTTTGTGACCTAAATAGTAACATAACGTCTACAATTCATCATTCTCGCTTATGACGGCCTAACCTTTATTCCCTAAAATCATAGACGAACTGACGCCTTTTCCTCTTACAATTCCTCAGTCACCCGTAACTTCAACTCCCTTCACCTTCTCTTGCGGTTAACGCCCACTACATCAATTGAAGACTACACTATAGTAATGGCTCCACAAATGCCCCGACCACTCTATATACTCTATATAAAGAATATGGTTACAACTTTTACTACCAAATCCTTCAAAGATTCTTTGTGTTGGAGAAACTTGGCCGACGATATTTAGGTAAGATTTCCTTTTCTCTTTTTGTTTCTCTGTAATTGTGGGGGTTGACACATATTGTATTGAGTTCATGTTTTTTGGTCATTTTGGCATCACTCTAATTTATTTGTTTTGTGTGGTTATGGAAAACATCGAGTAAAGGTGAGAAGAATGAGGTATGTTTGGAAACGGGTGTTTGTTTGCGTATGTTTGGAAGAACACTCCTCATTGTTTAGAGAAAAGTGATTCAAAGAGTATGTATGTTTTGATTTCACAATAAATTTCTTAAGTACTATAGGTGATTCACAATTTCATTTATACATGTCGTTAGTCACAATCGTCGGAAATAAACGTATCGCTCAAACGCCAAGACAAGAACTTCGATGGGAATCTCACAACGTTTCTTCTATTCTCATGTACGCAGTCATTGGAGATGGTGGAGAACCCAACGTAGAAGCATGCCCATAAACAAAGGAAGGAGCAGTGACTGGAGATGGTGGAGAACCCGATGTAGAAGCATGCCCATAAACAAAGGAAGGAGCCGGCGATTGAAGACGCTATCGCTCGCCGTTTCTTAAAGGTCCCATCCATCATTTCAACTTGATTTTCATTTCAAATTTTCATAAAGCGTAGTAAGTGAAAAGTCCCACTCTATTCACCAAGATTGGCTTCATCGATCTATTAATTGTGCATTAGTTCATTGATTAAATAAAACTTAAAATATTTTTGTGGTTACTACATTTTTTCTTTAATTTGAGGCACTTGAACCTGGAATCTATATAATAGGATTTGAAAATGTTATCAATTAATGTAAATAATAAAGTGGTGGTCGAAGTAAACAAGGAATACGCTTTTCTTCAGTCTTCCTGATTACGGATTCCAAACCAAATTCCAAAATGAATTGAAAAGATAAGCGGCCAAGATGAAGAAACCTAAACTTCAAGAGAAGAGAAGAAAAGATTAACGAAGCATATTGTACTTATGAGCTTTGACATAAAAATTAAATATTAGGCTTGGTGGGTTTTTAGACTTGGAAGTAATGTCACTCCAGTACGTTTAATTACAAATGAGGTTTGGAATATTTCTGCCACAAATTAATACCTATGCTTTTTTAACAATATTTTACGTTTTTTTTTATTTCGAAGATTTGGAACCATTTCTTTTAAAATACTTTATATGCTTTTGTAACTTTATTAAAATACAAACACAACAATTGATTTTCTAATCGTTTGATGGAGTCCACACCTTCCGAAAAATAAAAGACTATTTGACCACTTATAAATGCACGTTACTGTCTCCATAGAGATGTTTGGTCATGTTTATTTTTGAGTTTTCTAATTAGCGAGAGAAAAAATGCTAAACTTTTTATTTTATCATGCAAATAATAGTTGGCCTCGGCGCTGGCGGTGGTGAATTCGGGTATGAAATCATACAGAGATGGAACACATGGTACCTTTGTGGTGCATGTTGATGGGAGAATGTGAAGGCTTATACAGTGGATAGTCATGATTCAGGGATTAGTTTCTATCTTATATGTTTGTTTTCCAAATACAGAAAAAAATAATAACTCTTTGAGATGAAAGAATAAAGATCGCCAGTATGTAATTGGTGGTCATTTTGGCTACATTTCGATTATTATCAATTTTTTTATGTTCTCTCCTCTTCTTTTATGTTGGGATGAAAATCATTCGATACAAATAATGAATTTGTACATGTTATTGATATAAATCATAATATCACAGTGTCTATGTTAATGGGTAGACGATGTTCATAATATTTTGGGTTTATGTTGGTGTACATCTTATTGATATCTCATTCTACCGAACCAACAAAATAAACAAAAGGAAGTTCGACAAAGAATAATCTAATTTCAAATTAACCAAACAATTAGACAAATGCTAAGAATAATCTATATATCTCAAGTATTTTATCCCTACTACATTTTAAAAAAGAAAAATTATGAAATGCTAAGATTATGTTATGTCAGTTAAATTATCAACAATAATTTTAACAACACAATCCGCGCGTAGCGTGGGACAAACCCTATTACATAATTTAAAATCAAGTCTTATTAGGAAGGCCACTAATAATCTTCTTTTCGGTGAGATCAAGTTTTTGATACTAACGTCTTAACTTTATCAATGGAGCCGTTATTCTCATCATCCTTTTTCACTAATGCATTAACATAATCTTGTCCCTTATTATCATAGTTTT